GGATGGTGAAAACGATAGATGATTGAGCACATAATGAATTAGGCGTGGATGCGCGGGTCAGATGTTCATACTGCGGCACACTTTTCAATTACGTCAAGGGCACTGTCTACTTTTTTGGCTTTGCCGTCGTGTTTGATCATTTCGAAAGTGAGTCAATGTGGCAGAACTAGACGGTTTACTGACAACAATAATCGTCAAGATATAAGCCTACTATTGTTACAAAACTGTGCGAGTTCTAGTCCACAGCAATCTACTGAATCGATACGGCTCTCGACGTGGTTTCTATTTTGGCACCCATTTCGTTCAATTATAGCACTGACTGGATACTCTGCAGGGCCGTATTGATGGTGTTCATTTTTCACCCCGACGCAAGTTGACCTCGAATAGCTGACGATATCGCCTTACTAACTCCTAGTTCTGGTAATCTAGTCTGCGGTTTATCCATAAACACTGGGGAGACCGAAGTGTTTTCAAGTTGCATGTCTGAACAGGAGGTTTAACTTTTAAGCAGTGAGGGCCTGCATGCGTAAATGTATCGGCGTCTTAGGGACCGTGATCACAAGATTTCCAGCGCGGCGTACATACAAGAGGCGGAGGGTGTATACACACCTGAGACGCGCTTCAAAAGCTCCCTTGGAATTAATAGCTACCAACTTGTCGAAGTAGATAATTTTAAATACCTCGGAGCGAGCCTGCTGCCGAATGGACAGAGTAAGGACGACCTGGTCTCTCAAATTGATGCTCCCCATAGCTTTTTCTCAAAATATAGAAAATGTCTCAGGACCCGACCCGGCATCTCAGTCGCCACGACCATATGCGTGTATCATGCAACTTTCCGGCTGTTTGTGTTGGGTTGTGTCCGTGGAAAATGAATGAAAACTGGAGTAGTTTGATAACCGCTGTCGGAAGATTATCCTTCGAGTGAAGTACACTGACTTCGTCTCAAATGAGGGAGTCGGCATTCGCGGGAATGTCGCGAGGGTGCCCCAGGCTATCTAAGAACGACGACAGAGATGGTTTGGGCAAGTTCTTCGTTGTCCGCGTAGTGAGTATTTTGTTGTTGCTTTCGATCCGGCGTCGTTGTGCAATTGGAGGCGTCGAAGAGGGGGTCAACTCAGAACAGTTGTGGATTTTGGGCCTTGGGTATTCGGTCTCCGTCAATGGCAGAAGGGATGAGTTGGACTATCCAGATTTGCTCCCGCGGATCGTCATACGCAGAGAAATACAGTTCCAAACATTAGCAAGGTCGGCTATATCAGGCATGATGGCAGCCGTACCAAGTATAAGTATGAAACAAGCAGTATTTGTGAGGTAGTAAGTACAACAATAGTTTACGGTCACGGTAGCCGAAGTTAACAACAATCACAAAAAGGGATATATATATATATATA